CAAATCACTAGCAAATCTCAAAACTTAAGAGCAATGTCAGAAAAAAATCTGCTTACCTTCCCAGCACCACTTTCTCCACTCACAATTATAGACTGGTTTACAGGGTCTGTCTGGCTTTGGACTTTTCTGTAGGCTTGCTCAGCCACTGTGAAGATGTGAGGTTTTAAATCCTGGCAATAAAAGAGAATATTAATATTCAAGAGAACAGTAATTACACAGTTCAACAGCAATGGACAGCAAAGGTCTTCTCACATTTATCTGAAAACAGTACTGCTCTTTTAACAGAAGTCATATTTCACTAGAAATGGGTTTTATCCTTTAGGATTATTTTGCTTATATAGATTTTGAAGAACTTGACGTCTGGTTCTGCAGGACAGTTATTTCAAATATAAGGATTACCTGAGGACGAAGTGCAACATGGTACTCTCTCATAAGCTCAGGTGAATAGAGGCAGGAGACAGGCTGAAATGGATTTAAAGCCACCAGGCTGCAGCCAGCATTTGTGTAAAACAAGTTTACTGTGTATCTTGCTTGAAGACATTTCAGAACTGAAAGACACACCTTCTGTTAGCATCTTTTGAAGAGTGTATTTGACTCTTCCTGTTCCTGTTTGTAACAAAAATCTTCAGATATGTTACCTATTAGGTTTAATAGAGAATGAGGTGATCAAGAGAGTGATATAGGTCTAATATACATAACAATGTCTTTAAGAGTTGCCCTTATTTTTAAAAATCTTAAGGGATCTGCTAACTATTCCATTCAATAAATCCTGTGCTTTTATGAAGTTTCACAGTCAGTCCTAGAAAGCAAATCTGCTCACTTGCAGAACAAACAGAGGCAAGAATTCCCCACCTGCGCTAGGAACAGGCCTTAGCTTCTCTTAACAGGATCCTCTTTAAAAGTCGAGTGAGGAATTTACTTTTCAAAACCAATTTCATGGATATATTTTGAATGTAAGTTAGAGCCTCATTTTCTGATACATTCATGTAACACCAAACTGCAATCACAAGGTCATGCAGGAGCCCTTCAATAGCATTAACTCTCAACCACACGCTGGCTACCTGAACCAACAGTACAAATGTGAGCTCTGCATGGAGAGCTGGATAAGAGGTCAGCATGGCTAAATCTAAAATAGGAGTATTTTGGAAAAAAAATAATCAACCAAGCCAAATGTAACTTTCTAAGGCTTTCTATAGGCTTTAATAGGCTTTGAATCTTTAACTACTGTGTTCATGATTGTATTAATGCAATGAGAACAGTAACTACCATATATTAGTAGGCACCAAGGAAAGTGATTCCTCAGGAGATACTCCCCTGGCTGGCTGCTTACCTGTTGTAGTTGTCACCGGATTAACTTTAGTGAGGTCATCAAAAAGATGCAGTTTCTCCTCATCACTGAGGAACGCTCTAACTTCTTCTTCAAGTGATTCACTGAGGTCATTCTGAATGATAGAGTCTTCTTTTTGGCCATTTTCCTAGAGAGGATGTCAGATCAGCTCCAGTCAAAGGCTGAATATAGCTGGACTTTTACCTCATCCACTGTAGTTTATAGTTTTTCTACTGCTTCCATGTAACAGAAGTTCAGTCTCAGCAGCAGTCATAACTTAGCATGTTTGAGCTACTCTTCCTCCCAGTTGCCATCCCCTGGCATCAATGGTTCCCATGGGGTGCTTTGCTTTTAGAAAGTTATTATTTAGCATATGAGAGATGGCAGGCTGACAACACTGTCTGTAAACTGAATTCATCGCTGGTAATTCTGGCTGTAAGCAAAGGCACTCGGAAAGAATGTGTCCTTAGACTCACACCACCTGGCACTTGCAATTTTGCAGGTCATTCAGCACAGACACACTTATACAATGTTCTTAAGTGGCATATTTCTAAGCCTATGAATGTCATGCATTCAATGCAAACACTGCCTTGGGTAGAGGGAAGCAGGAAGGACTGGCTGCAGAGGCTAAGGTAGAGCTGAAAGCTACTGTGGTCCAACACAAATGCAGTTTTCCTAGCACAGACTTCAATTTTTAGAGCAGAGATTGAGGGCCCCGAGAGTGAAGTTGCAGAGTGCACATATTGCAGCCAGGGGAAAGAAATGGTGGCATTGTAAGAGCTGGCCTGCATTAGGTGAAGATTTGTCCCCTCTGAATCACTTCAATTATTTAAGTCTTAGCCTCTGGGCTCCTATGTCCTTGACAATATTAGTTGGAAGGACATATTTGCTGTACAAACATAATGGAAAACTTAGCCAGAAGAGATTTCAGGTCCTGTTTGTCATTTGGCGGGGCAGCGGGGGGGGGGGGGGGGGGGGGGGGGGGGGGGGGGAGGAGAAGGGGGA